GCCCGCCGGTCCCCAAGCAGCTCTCGAACCCGACCCTCCTGTCCTTCAGTCGGCGGTGCTCTTCGCCACGCCAAACTCTGTGGGCGATTTACCACTCGAGGGGATCTCAACCGCTATTGCTCAAGGAGCCGTCTGCCATCGCCAGTCCCCGAGCAGCTCTCGAACCCGACCCTCCTGTCTTTCTGACTTCAGTCGGCGGCGCTCTTCGCCACGCCAAACTCCGTGGGCAATCTACCACTCGAGGGGATCTCAACCGTTATTGCTCAAGGAGCCGTCTGCTGTTCGACTCCAAAGCCAAGCGGTAACAGGAGCATTGTTAATGAAATTAAGAATAATACAACTAAAGAAACATGGCGAGAAAGAGAAGATAAGGAGAAGGAAGAAGAAGAAAAAGAAGAACACCAAAGAAAAGAAAAACAGATTGAAAACACATCCCGGTCTTTCCCAAGGACTGGAAAATTAATTTTTAAAAAGCAGAAATATAGAATGACAGGACATAAACCAGTGGTGATGGGAATGATGGCTTCAGCAGGCCATTTTGACTGTTCTCCATAAATACCATTTTCTGATTTATTTTTCAACTTCTGGCCCTTCCCTTGGAGGCGGTGCAGGGAATAGCCCTACGGAAAACATTGCAGAATCTTTTGCCCGACAGCGATAGACTGCTCCCGCGCAGGGGGGCTCTGCCTAGTTGCAATGGCTGCGGCTGCCTACAGGTCACCCTTTCCTCTCCATGCATTTCTGCAATCCACAAGCGGATTGCTGAATTTTGTCCGACAGAATCGGACACATAACGATACCGAGCGCAGTCAATGGCGGGGAAGTAAAAAGAAACTTTTCTGGAGGGTCTCAAGTTGCCCGCTCCGGTGTTTGGGGCTTTGGATTAAAAGTTTAAATAAGCAAATATTATTACTCCTTCTAGCAACGAATTTCCAGCTTCTACGGCTGCATCACTTAGTATTTGAAGAAGCAAATAAAGTTTTGAGGATTCGTGGAACAAAGTTACTTAGTTTCCGCGAAAGCAACCAAGTGTCAAAGAATAACCAATTTCATTTAGCAAGTTAAGTTTGTTTATTCATTTTCTTTGAAAAATCCTTTAAAAATGTAAAAATGAAAAACAATTCAAAAAACTGATTGTTTTCAAGGAAATAAAAGTAGCCCACACAGTTTCTCAAAGTAAGATGCGACCCAAAAGCTTGTTTCTAATGTTTATTCAAGGAAATAAAAGTAGCCCACACAGTTTCTCAAAGCAAGACCCAAAAGCTTGTTTCTAATGTTTGCTGTTAGTTTTACTGTATTTAACCAGACTGAGATCCTGGATCTTTATTGTCTTCAAAATAAACGAAGGAGAAAATTGTGTTGCACTTTTGCTGAAATAAAGCGAATATTCTGCTGATCCCCAAACGGAGAATCTGGGTTTGATGTTTTAAAAAAATAACTATCCTTTGCTCTGATGTTAGGCGAGTCTAGTGCTCATCATCCTCCGGACAGTCACCGACAGACTGAGGTTGAAACTAAAGAATATAAGTGTGTAATTGAAAGCAAAGCTCACTTAAAAACAGAACACATTCGTTCATCCTACCATGAACTTTCCCCGCCTTTACAAACCTCAAGAGAACGCAGTTCTGTGATTGGCCACCAAGAGCAAAGTCCAAAAATAAATAAAAATAAAATAAACACATTTGTTCATCTTACCATGAACTTTCCCCGCCTTTGCAAACCTCAAGAGAACACAGTTCTGTGATTGGCCACCAAGAGCGAACACGGGCTTCATTTCCAAGTCTGATGGGCCAGGCATGGAGCTTTTCAGAAAAACTCTAAATAAGTCGAACAGTGGAACAGTTCAATTACAATTATACCACAGTTCGTCATATTTAGTGTTTCCCTGGAAAGGTTTTTCTCCGGCCATGTCAGAGAAGCGAGGTCAAATCTCCACTCAGTGGAAAACTCAATTAGGACCATTAATAAGTTGAAAAGTTGGCAGACCTGGAACCATTCATGTACAGTGGGATCCCTCCTATCCACGGGATCAGTATCCGCGGAGTCACTTATCCCCTGCCAGAACAAACTAAACAAAAAACCCCAGAAAAGTATATTTCTATGCATTTCCAAAGTTTTTAAACCAGAACTATTTTTATTTATTTATTCCATTTATACCCCGCCTATCTGGTCATATTGACCACTCTAGGCGGCTACAGGGAGGCAGAGACCATCCAATGTGTAGTGTTCACTATATCTGCTGTTTTTTGGCATCTGCGGGGTGTGGGTGGGTGTGTCGTGGAACCGATCTCCCGCAGACCCCATGCCTGTGTTGGGATGGGAGATTCAAGCGATTCATCAGCAGGGATGTCAGAGGAGGCACTCTGTGCATGCCCCGTGGCACCCTCCCCTCCGTTCCACCGGTTCAGCCCCAGCCTCCAAACTTTCCCTGGAGCCGAGCCCTTCTCCCTGACAATGAATGAACCATCTGATGGAGCTTTAACAAAATATTACAGACTCTCCCGGGTCCATTGAAATACCAAATTCCTCCCTGGGCTGAGTCAGCCTGGAGGACTTAACCCCTTCCTACCTCTCTTCTCTCCCCCCCTCCCATCTATTTCCCCTGCCTTCTAGCAAAAAAGGACTTTGGGGGGGGGAGTGGTTAGCGCTCCAGGCTGGGGGTTAAAAAAAAAGGAAGGAGGAAGAACTAGAGGGGGGGGGAAGAGAATTTTTTTGAGTAGGCGGAGTTGCTCCCGACCTCTCTCAACTTTTCCTTCCCTGGTTTCCGATCCCTTCTTTCTTCCTCTCCCACTTCCTTCTTTTCCACTTTAAATCCTTCATTTAATTTTATATATTTTTTTAAAATCCCCCCCTTCTCCCCTTCCCTCTTTCCTCCCCCATCGGTCGGGTCGGGGTCCGATTATGGCCAAAACTTACGACCACCTTTTCAAACTCTTGCTGATCGGAGACAGCGGGGTCGGGAAGACCTGCCTGATCATCCGATTTGCCGAGAACAACTTCAACCGGACCTACATCAGCACCATTGGTAAGACTGTTTGGGGGGGGGGGTCTGGTGGGATCCTTTGAGGGGGGGAGGTTTCCCTCTCCCTGGGGACCCGATCCACCCACCCTGCATGTCCTAATCCGTGCCCAGCCCCTTCTAGGGTGAAAATCCCCCTGGATCAGAGTCTGGGAAAGGGATGGGGGGGGAGAAGTTTGGAAAAGTGACGAAAACCCAGCAAAGCAAAAAGCTGCGGGGGTTTCCAGGTGGCTGGAGGATTATGGAAGATGTACCGTTTCCCCCCGCAAAAAAATAAGACAGGGTCTTATATTAATTTTTTGCTCCAAAAATTGCATTAGGGCTTATTTTCAGAGGATGTTTTACAGTCCTGTCCTCTTTTTCTGGTGGCTGCACAAGGATAGAGGGCGGGGGGTTCACTTCACTGGGGCTTATTTTTGGGGTAGGGCTTGTAGGACCAACATCCTGAAAAATCCTACTAGGGCTTATTTTCAGGTTCGATCTTATTTTCCAGGAAACGGGGTAATCAACCAAAAGTCACTTAGCCAAGGGTTGGCCTCTATCCGAGAGAGATCAGAGGTCAGATGGACAGATCCTCCTTCCCGCTTCTGGCAGGGAGGCCGACCCAACACATTTTGCCGCCCGAGGCACAAGATAAAAAATGACACACAGACACAGTCCCACTTGGAGACCGACTAGGACAGGGGCGGTGAAAGGTTTGCGTGCTGTTGGGACGCACGTCACCTTGTCTGTTGCTCTTGGCCACGCTGGCTGGGGATCATGGGCATTGTTGTCCAGAGACATCGGACCAACCACGATAAACCCAGAAACGGACTCCATCAACCCCATTTTCAGATTTACATTCCCTCTTATTCAAAAGCATGAGGACAGGAATCTTATTTTTTTTTTTTTAAAAAGGGCTACATGGGTTAGATCTCTGGCTGTGGAGCCAAAGGTTGGGAGTTCGAATCCGCCCCCACTGGGCCTCCTTGACAAGGGGTGGACTGGATGATCCAAAGGGTCCCTTTAACATGTGATGTCACCAGCAATGCTTAGGAACTGAGCGAAAAGCAGGATCCACTCTGATTTCTTACTAAAACCCCCGAAATCGAACCCAGAGATTGTGGTGCGAGAGGCAGGCACTGAAAATGAAAAGGATTCTGTGCCTGGAAATTTATTTATTAAAAAAATCCCGAGCTAAGGAATTTGTTTCTTGGCACAGGACGGGAGAGCAGCTCGCCGGCCGACTGCTTAAACTTCAACTTTCATTTTGCCCTTCATGGTAGTAGTTTTAGAGCCGATAGCCCCATTGGTCTGTGCTAGCCTCGTTATTCCCGGTGAATTAAGCCCCAATCAGAGACCTTAACCGACACCAAGCCCTCTTTTTTTCCTGCATCTAGGAATCGACTTCAAAATCCGGACCGTGGAAATTGAAGGGAAAAGGATCAAGTTGCAGGTCTGGTAGGTGTGCTGATGCCTTACAGGAGCTAGAATTCCCCCCCATCTCCTCTTCTCCCCATTTCGATCACACCTCCCAGCCTTGGGTCCTTTTTCAGCAGAAAGGCAGGATAGATGTAAATAAATAAATGATGACCTGCCTTCAAATTCTGATTTTTTTGGGGGGGGGGCTTTCTTTCTCTTTCAGGGACACAGCTGGCCAGGAACGGTTCAAGACCATCACCACTGCCTATTACCGGGGAGCTATGGTATGGGATCTAACCCTCCTTGCCCCCCAAAAAAAATCTCTGGGTCAGGTTGAAATAGGTGTCAGTGTTTCCTTGCCACCGCCCCCCACCCCCCAAAACAGAGCCTAAAAAGGACAAAGATCAATATCGCCATCTAGGGACAGTGTTGGGAAGCCCCATTCAGAATAGGTTAAAACGGGGAAACGCATCCAGACACAGGCTGGCGAATGAAAGATCGGGGCAGGGCCCCTCCAAGCCCAAACCTGATATTCATCGGCTCCCTTCAACTTACTCACGTGGACTTCGCCACCCCCCAAAACAGAGCCTAAAAAGGACAAAGATCAATATCGCCATCTAGGGACAGTGTTGGGAAGCCCCATTCAGAATAGGTTAAAACGGGGAAACGCATCCAGACACAGGCTGGCGAATGAAAGATCGGGGCAGGGCCCCTCCAAGCCCAAACCTGATATTCATCGGCTCCCTTCAACTTACTCACGTGGACTTCGTGTTTTGCTTAAGGAAGGAAGGAAGGAAGGAAAAATAGAGAGGAAGGAAGGAATGGGTAGCATAAAGCTGCAGGGAGGGTCGCTCAGGACCTGGCATGGTGTATGTGCCCGCGGAAAGAACATTTGCACCCCCCCCCAATGTGTATCCCCCTTTTCCACAGAATGCGTCAGCTGGTGTGGAACGCCTTCTGCTGGGGAACAAGTGTGACATGGAAAGCAAGCGCAAGGTGCCCCAGGAGCGTGCAGAGAAGGTAAGGGGTATCAGTCGGAGAGGCAGGATCAAGGCTGGCCTACAGAGGAAGGGGCAGGATCTGTCCTCGAGCCTCCCAGAGAGCAGGACACGCAACAGTGGGACAGGGAGCTGGATGTAGCCTGAAGATCAGGGGGAAAAAACTTCTTAACTGTTTAGAGCAGTACGACGAGGGAACCCATGACCTAAAGGGGACGTGGTGAGCACTCCAACACTGGAGGCATTCGAGAGAAAACTGGACCTCCGTCTGTCCGATCTGCTTTGATTTGGGTTCCTGCCTTGAGCAC